GTCTAGTTCTGGGTGGGTACCATACTGTGATCATGATGGCTTTCCAGCATACTTATATATCTGGCAAGTCAAGTTCCTCTTCTTGTCCGTGATCTTGGCCACTCTCATTTATTATTTCATTCGAACATTGAAAGCATTCCTTCCATTTTTAAAACACTCCCTGTCGGGATTCTAATTGAATATGAACTGTCCCCTGTGAATGTGACATTGTATAATGCTAATTTATATGACTTCTTTCTTCCTAACCTTGTGGTCTATGTTTCAGATGGCTTTCAACTCCTTTCTGGACCTTCATATAACTCCTTTGATTTTTGTGTAAAATTTGTTTCTATGAATTGTATAATTTTTCATGTTACTATGAATAGCATTTCCCCCATTTTCATTTCCAGCTGATTTTTAAAAAATATTTTATTTATTTATTTTTAGAGAGAGGGGAAGGGAGGGACAAAGAGAGAGAGAAACATCAATGTGTGGTTGCCCCTCACGTGGCCCCCAGTGGGTACCAGGCCTGCAACCCAGGCATGTGCCCTGACCGGGAATTGAACTGGCGACCCCTTGGTTTGCAGCCCGTGCTCAATCCACTGAGCTACACTAGCCAGGGCTCCAGCTGATTTTTTGTCAAATACAGAAATGCAGCTGTTGGTTTTGTTGCAGCTACATGCCTAGGTTTTGTATGCAGCTATATGTCTAGGAAAGACAGGAGATAAAAATATATAGATACAGATTTATGTAAATATATAAGATATATTTAAAATCAAAATATTAATAATATGTTTAAGTATATATTTATATAGATATATGAGGGGGGACGCAATAAAACCCTGGAGTTATCTTCTGGAGGGCGGCCCCTTTTGGTACAGACTTCCCCCACTAGGTGAGTGTTCCAGAGCCCATCTGTAACAGTGCGCCAGCTGGCATTGTTGTGAGAGGCTGCGCTTGGCTCCAGTGAATTTGTTTTGAAGACTCTTTCAGTGCGTTTGCTCATTTCATTATGGGTGATTTACGAGCACACCTGCCCACACCATGCTGAGTGTTCGGCAGTTTTTGACCCATAATGGCATGACCCCTGTGCCCCACCCTCCCTATTCACCCAATCTCGTCCTGAGTGACCTTTTCTTTTTTGTTACCCTAGACGAAAGAGTCTTAAAAGGGAAACATTTGAGGTGAAACAAAAACAGCAGAAGCACTAAAAGGCATCAAAATCAATGAGTTCAAAAACTGTTTTGAGCAGTGGGAAAAAAACATCTTGATAGGTGTGTTGTATCAAATAGAGAGTACTTTGAATGTGACTGAAGTTTAAAAATGTAAGAGTAAATACAATTTTTCACAAATGAACTACAGGCTTTTTGGGTCCCCCTCATATATGTTTATATAACTATATATTTTAAAATTAGAATATCTTGGTTCTTCTAGGTAAACTGTCCCTACACCAGCTAGCTCTCCTATTGAAATATTGACACTAATTATTCTAGTCTTTGTCATCTCATTTTGCTATAATCACCGAGCGATACCTGCAGTGAGGGTGGCCAACTGTGTGTGCATCTTGTTCTTTCCTTTAGTAGAAATGACTAGGATTTCACTACTGAAAGGGCTGAAAATCCTTGTTGTGGTTTGTGGTTAGCCTTATTGTATATATATACTATTCCATTTATTTCTATAAGTTTTTATTATTAGAAATAACCATTGCAGACCCTGGCTGGGTAGCTCAGTTGTTTAGAGCATTGTCCTGATACACCAGGTTATGGGTTCAGTCCCTGGTCAGGGCACGTACAAAGATCAACCAATGAATACGTAAAGAAGAGGGAAAACCAATGTTTCTCTTTCCCTCTTCCTTCCTCTGTCTCTAAAATCAATAAATAAAAAGTTTAAAAAATAGCTGTTGCATTTTATAAAACACCCTTTGGTACTTTTTGAAAAATCAATAGACTGTCTTTTAACTTCTAGATGTAATGAGTTACCTTGGGGATTTAGAGATATGGAACCATTCTTACGTCCTTGCAATAAAACCTACTTGGCTGTAATATTCTGTTGATACCTGGTCATGTTTCTGTAGAATATCTGCATCTTACCCATGAGTTTTCATTTTCACAATTCGCAGAAACTCACGTGACTGTTCCTAAAGCCCAGCCACTCATACCCTGTCTTCTAATAGCAGAACTTCCTCTGTTCCCTTTTTAATTTTCTGTACTTGGAATAACCAATTTGTCCTTTTTTTTTTCTTTCACTTAAAATAATGTGTCTGAGATACCTGTATATTGCTGAGCTCATTCTCCTTGCTGTGTTGAATGGTATACATTGATTTACAAATAAATCCATATTCCTATTGATATTATTTATATTGATATATTGTTAATATACAGTTGATATATTCAGTTTTCTGTTGATGGGCATTTATATGATTTATGATTGGGGTTAAGTATAAACACTTAGACCTCTTTAGTATATTTGTCAGCATGGATTGAGTTGCCTTCAAGAAACTGATAGTTTCCCCAGGTGGTCCACTTTTTTAAAAAAATATTTTATTTATTTATCTTTAGAGGGGAAGGGAAGGAAAGAGGGAGAGAAACATCAATGTATGGCTGCCTCTTGTGTGTCCCCTGCTGGGAACTGGCCTGCAACCCAGGCATGTGCCCTGACTAGGAATCGAACCACGGTTGTTTGGTTTTCAGGCCTGCGCTCAATCCACTGAGCTACACCAGCCAGGGCGATATTTTTAATTTTAGCCATTCTCGTGGCACTAGACACCATTTCTGGTGGCTGGATAGCATGCCCCTGTACAAGTGTTCTATTGCTGAATTTAAGAACCATTTGTTGATAAGCATTTGGGTTGTTTTCAGTTTAAAAAAATTTTTAATTCTCACCCAAGGATTTGTTTATTGGGTTTTTTTAGGGGAAGAGGAAGAGAGAAAGAGAAACAGTGATGTGAGAAACACCAATTGGCTATCTCCCAAAAAAGCCCTAACAGGGAATTGAACCCATAGGTATGTGCCCTGACCAGGGATCAAACCCGCAAACTTCTGGTGTATGGGACAATGCTCCAACCAACTGAGCCACCCAGCCAGGGCTGTTTTCAGTTTTCTCTTTTATACAATACAGTGATGCAATTCTGGAACAACCTTCTTTATGCATTTGTAACTAAACCCCTGTCAATCACCTTTTTGGTTATTTCCAGTCGTTTTGTTTTTATGCACAAAATAACACTGGAATAAACTTTCTTGTACATTCATCTTTGTGGGCTTAAAAGTTTTTTGTTTTCTTGAGATTTTAGGTTTTTTGCCTTTTTAAAAGAGATTTTATTTATTCATTTTTAGACAGAGGTGAAGGGAGGTAGAAAGAGAGGGGGAGAAACATTGATGTGTGGTTGCCTCTCATGTGCCCCATCCTGGAGACCTGGTCCACAACCTAGGCATGTGCCCTGACTGGGAATCAAACCTGTGACCCTTTGGTTCACAGGCCAGCACTCAATCCACTGAGCCACACCAGCCAGGGCTGCTTTTAATGTCTCTTCTCATGTTGGTTTTGAGGACAGAGCCAGCCCAGGGAGTGTTGTACATTGCATCGGATGAAGGGCTGAAGGCTGGTTACTCTTACAAGCTGGCTTCTGAGATTGCACCTTCTTTTCCTGCTCCTCCTCCAACTCTATGACCCCTCAAGGTATGAAGATGGCTGGTCAAGGGTCTAGCTGGTTCAGCCAGAAGGGGGGGACTTTGGCCAAACATAGGCTCCAAGTTATGCATCAGTGTTGCTTGGCAGCATCCCGACTCTCTCTGCACTAAGGTACTTCTGAAAACTACAGCCATCTCCTCATTCTTCTTTCTACCCATCCTTCCATCCGCCATTAATCTGTCAGTCACTTACCATCTATTCACTGATTCATTCGTCGGTCTGCCAATGGTCTCTTCACCAATTCCTTCAGCTCGCTCCACTCACACACCCATTTATCTACTCAGATTTCATCTGTCCACTCACCCATCCACGTATCTATTCATTCAGTTATTTCTCACTCCCTCTACCCATCCATCCAATCACTCACTCATTCATCCATCCATCCACTTATCCATCCATCCATCCATCCATTCACCAATCTACTCATCCATCCATTCATATACTCATCTACCCATCCATTCATCCATTTACTAATTCCTCAACCTACCTACACACTCATCCATCCATCTACCCATTCATCCATCCATGAGTTCATTTCTTTATTTATTGATCTGTTCATAAATTCATCAACTTCATTTACTCATCCATTCTTTCACTGAACCCTCCATCTATCCCTCCAACTGATTTACCATTTATTCATCCACTGATTTACCTTACCAGTATTTAGTCATGCATTCAGCTATTTATCCAACTTTCTTTTTTAAGGTATTTAAACAATTTAATTTTAGAGTGGAAAGGAGGGAGAAAGAGAGGGAGAGAAATATCAATGTGCTAGAGATACATCAATCAATCAGTCGCCTCTTGCACACCACCAACCAGGGACCTGGCCAGCAACCCAGGCGTGTACCCTGACTGGGAATCAAACCAGCAACCTTTTGGTTCACAGGCCTGCACTGAATCCACTGAACCGCACCAGCCAGGGCTATCCATCCAACTTTCAACTCACTCACCCATTCATTTATTAGTCAAGTTAGTCACTCACCCAATACCCACCCATTCACAGCCTATGATTGAGATGAGGTCAAAGAAGTGACTCAGACCTGTTTCTTGCCTTCTAGGAATTTATAGTCAGGAGAGGCAAATAACAATAACACACACACACACACACACACACACACACACAAACAGTACGATCAGTGCTGTACTCACAATATGTCCCAAAAACAGGTGGTCAAGAGGCCAGGACAGAGAGGGCCTGCAATGAATAGGAGAAAGATTGCGAGGTGCCAGGAACAAGGTTTCGGTCCTAGGACCCCTCTTGTCTGCACAACTCCACTTTGACCACCTCCCTGCCACCTCCACAGGCAGAGTTGATCAGCCTAGGAACCAAGACAATGCAGCAAGCAACACAGTTACAGTTGTTACCCAGTGGACAGAGCTCCTTCCAGCCCCAGCACACCCCCAATTTTCAAGGCAGAGTGGGGACACTGTGTTTACAACCCCATTGTGAGCAGCCTGCATCCAGGGAGACCCCCCTGCAACAGCCAGATAAGGGTAAGATGGTGCCTCGCTCCATTCCACGCCTCCGGGCCGTTGTTGAGAGCCAGGCCTTCAAGAACGTCCTGGTGGATGAGATGGACCTGATGCTGTCTCATGCAGCCACCCTCATCCAAGCCAACTGGAGGGGCTACCGGCTCCGGCAGAAGCTGATTTCCCAGATGTTGGCAGCTAAAGCCATCCAGGAGGCCTGGCGACGCTTGTATACCAGGCGCCTCCTCCGGTCTGGCAAGGAGATGGAGAAAAAAGTGAGCATGGATGAGGGGGACATCCCTTACCATCCCCCCCAGCAGGTGCGGTTCCAGTCTGCAGAAGAGAGCAAGCTCCTCCCTGCCCCACCTGTCACAGTGAGTAGGGAGACCCAGTCCCCTTCTGCTAACGTCTCAGCTGCCACTACCCACCAGCTGGCCCTGGGGCAGCCTCCAGGCATTCCACAGCCGGGCGTGCAGGCTCCATGTACCACTGGAGGCCCCAGCGGCACTTTCCCGCCACAACAGACTGTCTCCATGAGACTTCCATGTCCAGCAAGTCCAGATGCAAAGAGCCACCCATGCCTGCTAACCAGAACTATCAGAAATACCAGTCTCATCCACACAGAAGGTAACACAGTGAAAACCAAGCAAGTGATTACCAGAGCCAACAAGGAAGGAGCCCTGGCGCCACTGCCATGTGGAAGGTGTGCCCAGGAACTTCACAGAGCCCTCCAGACCCAGACCCAGGGCCCTGTAGAAGCAGAGGTCCTTAAAGCCCCACCCCAGACAGGCCAAGCATCTGTGATGACCAAGACCCCACTCCAGCAGTTCCCGGTGACCACCATAACCACAACTAAGATCCCACCCCAGATGTGCCCAGCAACTGCAGTGACCAAGACCCCACTCCAGTCGTGTTTGGCGTCCATGATGAACAAAACCGTACCCCAGCCTTGCCCAGCACCCACAGTAACAATAACCAAGACCACACCCCAGGTAGACTCAGCAGCCCCAGTGGCCAAGGCCCCGTTCCAGTCATGCCTGGCAGCAATCTTGAGCAAGAACTCAACCCAGCCATGCCCGGTACCCTCAATAATGATAACAAAGACCACACCCCAGCCGTGCTTGGCGGCTTCAGTGACCAAGACTCCAGATCAGATGCAACCAACAGCCTCGATGACCAACACTGCACCCCAGACACAACCAGCTGCCATGTTGGCCAAAATCTCCCCCCAGATATGCCTGTTGACTTCAGTGATCAAGCCTCCGACTCAGACAAGCCCAGTGCCCATGATGGCCAAGACCCAGCCTCAGACATGCCAGGTCCCTGTAATGCCCAAGACCCCACCCCGAACATGCCAGGTGCCCATGATGGCCAAGACCCGGCCCCAGACATGCCCAGCAGCCACCATGGCTAAGACTCCACTGCAGACATGTCCAGTGGCTGCGATGGCCAAAACCCCATCTCAGACGCTCCCAGGGTCCTCCATGACCAAGATCCCTCCCCAGACGCGTCTGGCAGCCATGATCACCAAGACACCAGCCCAGTTACGCTCAATGGCCACCATTCTCAGGACGCTGTGCCAGCCCCCTTCTGCAGCTGGAAATCTGAAGGCTTCACCTCCAGCAGCCGTGGCAGCTGCTATTCCTAACACCTCATCACATACATGTCTGAATAGACCAAAGGCCAAGGCTGTGGTGACTGGGAGACAGACGGTGGGCATGGTCAAAGTCTCGTCCCATTCACACTTGACTGAGGGAAAAGTGAAATACTGCCCCCCACCACATCTGGGGGCTGGGACTCCCAAGGCTCTGGCTAGGCCTTCTTTGGAAGGCGAGAAAATCAAGACCTTCTCCCAGAAACAGGTGAAAACAGCAACTATGTATAACACCAGTGTGGCCAAGGACAGGAGCAAGGTCTTATCACAGGCACAGCTGAAGAAAGATGTTGTGAAGGTTCAGTCCAAGGTGTACATGCCTGTAGAAATGAATGTGGTTCTACCCCAGGCACAGCTGGGCACCAATCCAGCTAAGGCCCTGCCGCAGGCACAGATGGCCACCTGTTCAAGCCCAGCTTCATCCCGTGGACATCTGTTTGCCAAGCTGTCTGTAGCCCTGCCCCAGGCAAATCTGGGCATGTGTCTGTCCAAGCCCCTACCCCAGGCACATCCACCTGCCAAGCTAAGCAAAGCCCCGACCCTTGCCCATCATGGCACGTGTCCAACCAAGACACAGTCCCGGATGCATCTGACCACAGGAGTGATAAAGGTCCAGTCTCAAGCAGATCTGCCAACCAGGCTGACCAAGGCCCAGCCCCAAGTGCCACTGGTCCCAGAAACAGCCAAGTGCCCCCACACTGCCCATCAGGCCCCTGAAGAAGGCAAGACTCAGTCCCAGCCACCCCTGGCTGGGTTCAAAACTTTAGCCCAGCCCTGCCAACGGGCTGGCCCTCTTGGCACTTTGTCTCGAGCCAAGCCAGAGGACAGACTGACGCAGCTTCCGGCTCACGGCTATGCCCAGGGTAAAGCCCCCAAGGGCCCACACCAGGAGGCCTCTGAGACCCAGAGCATGCTGGTGCCGCTGCTGGCATCCACTGGACACCTCACGTGCAATGCTGAATCCCGCAGTGACAGCGGGACCACCTGGGCCCAGCCACCAACCACCAGCCCAGCTGTACCCTGTCAGGAGGAGCTGGTGGCCTCCCAGCTTGCCTCACTGTGTGCTGAGCTGGCCGCTGTGCTGGGCTCTCAGGAGGACCTCCGCGATATGCTGGCAAAAGCTCTCTCCCAGGGGGAAGTGAGAGCGGCACTGAACCAGGCCCTGTCCAAGGAAGTCTTGGGCACTATGATGGCCAAGGTCCTGCCCCAAGGCATGCTGGGCACAGCACTGGTGAAGGCGCTGTCCTGGGGCGAGCTGGGCGCTACACTGTCCCGTGCCCTGTCCCAGGGTGAGCTGCGGGCAGAACTCACTAAGGCTATGCAGGGCAAACTGGGGGATATGCTCAACAAGGCCCTGACAGAAGAAGAGTGGGCCACCCTGAACCAGGCCCTGTGTCAGGGTGAGCTGGGTGCCATCCTGAGCCAGTCCTTGTCTCAGGCGGCCCTGAGGAGTGGACTCATCCTTCCTAAGGCTGCCTCGAAAACATTGGAAAGTGGGATGATGGTGACGCCAGCCCCAGTGGAGGTGACCTACAGGGGGAGCCCATCAGCTGCGTGGGGGCCCACCCTGGGCCGTGTGAGACCACAGACCAGCAAGGTCAGGGTTCCCCTGGGTGGGGCCTGGGAAGGCTTTGTCACAGACTGGCCAGCTGGGCCATTGGAGGAAATGGGGGATGGGGCCCTGGTCGGGGGGACACCCTGTTTGTCTGTGGTCTTGGTGGGAGCCTCCTTGGTCGGCAGGGTGATCACCACTGTTCTTCAATTTCCCCCAATCTCTGGTTTGGACCCCACTCTGTCATGGGAGATGGGGCTCCCCAGGGACTGCTTGCACCCAGGAGCTGGCAAACTGGCATCAGGTCTCAAGCCCAGGGCAAGTGATACAGGCCCCAATTTGCCTGGGTAACTCCCCCTGCAGCTGCCCCACCAGCCGTGGCAGCCGCTCATTGCCAATGGCATCACCCCAAGCACCAGCTGGTCATTGGTGGCTGGAGGCATGGCCTCAAGCTCCCATAAGCCACATGTGGCCAGCAGGGTGGCCCCACATCTGTTGGCATCATCGCGGGAGGGCAGGGTGGCCCCAGACAAGCTTGCCAGCTCTACAGGTGGTAGGAGGGCCATCCATTCCCACCAGTGTTCCACCGCCTATGGGGGCCCTGCTCATTGCTGTCAACCCTCTGGAGTCACCTGGGGGACCCCCGGGGTGTATTGGCCATTAGCAGCCAAAAGTCTGCAACATCCATTCATGGTCCCTGAAGAGACCACGCAGAGGACTCAGTCCCTAAATCATAAATGGGCCTTTGTTGGGCAGTAGTAAGATGATCAACAAGGTGACTTCAGGTCTACCGAAGGCCACCGCAGTGAGCAATGTGCCCCTATCCCAACCTCAGACCCTTAAGGCCTGTGGCAGAACCCCAGGCCTTTTGCCTGGCTCCATGGTTCCTGGTCATCACGGGGCATTCAAGAGTTGGGGAGAAGCCGGGCTGTTGGAAGCCTCCCTAGGAAGTTGGTTAAAGCCTACCCTTCTCCATACAGCCATCCCTGGGCAGGAGAAGAATCAAACACAGGGTATCATTTCTGGCATGCACTGCCCACAGCAGCTGGTGACTGGCCATCTACTCAGTGAAACTGGAGGCCCATTTGCCACAGGGTTCACACAGTGACCGAGCTAGAAGCTTCTCCCAGGGTATAGACTATGGCCTAAATGTGAGTAATTCCCAGAGCTCGTTGTGCTGCTATAGCTCACTCAGCCTTTCCACCATGTCTGTGGCCAGTCTGAGAGCACTGTTGACCTAGTGAAGGAGGAGGCCAGAGAAGCCAGCTCTGATGGGGACTTCCTCTCTGTGGAGGCCATGAGGAGGTCCCAGAGGCCTGGGGACCTGGAAGAGATGGAGAGCAGGCCATGGGCACATGACCCCCAAACCTGTACCGCCTGCCCTCTCCAGCCTTAGAGGTGACCCCACTCTGCGCCACAGCTCAATGTCCAGTCAAGTGACCTTGAGTGTCCACTGGGGCTCAGGTGGTCAGGATGAGAGGAGCATGTCCTCAAACCAAAACTTCATGGGTCCGAAAGGTAGCTTGTGCCGGAAACCGGACAGGACGGGGCTGAAGCGAAGTCTGCCTGTAGGTAATGTGGTTCCTCCCTCACATCAGCAGCCAGCTTTGACCAATAAGTTGATCCCAAGCCTATCCCAGCCATCAGGAGCCACTGTTGGCCACTGCCAAAGTCCCCTGCAGCCCCTCAGCTGCTCATTTCCCCTGAAGCCCCTTGGCTTCTCACGTGCCCTGGAGCCATTCCCATGAGTGAGTGGCTTCTACTATAGCGTCGGGGTCACCCGAGCTGGTCCATGGCAGTTCTGTGGCATGCAGTTTGCACCTGGGGTCTGTGTCTGAGATGGGGGCCGCAAGCACTTCCTGGAGGTCAGGGCCACCAGTGTGGCCCCATATATGCTGCCGTATCTGTTTGAGGCCAGTGTCGTGCCATCCGGTGGGTCCGAGTGGAAGCTGTCCCCAGTGCATTTTAGGAGCCAGTGTCTGGGAACTGGCTCAGGGCAGCCACCACGACCTCCTTGGCTCTGGAAAGTCCTCCAGGTCCACGGATGGTGGCTTTGTCTCTGGAGTGCTGGACGGTTCTGTGGCCAAGCCTGGGCCCTCCCAGAAGGTCGGGGAGCACGCCTCCAGCCCCTCACAGGAAGGTCCCAAAATCTCCATGGGCTCACTGCCAGACATAAAGTCTGTTATCCGTACTGGTGACCTGGCTCACGACAGGGCCATCCCTGGGTTGCACCACAGGGTTAGAAGGATATCTCTTGAATCTTCATCAGGTGGTTCCTAGTGGCCCCTTTGTAACCAGGGGTCACTACAGGGACCTCAGGATTTCCACAGCATCATTGCTCCTGTGGACAGTTACAGGGCACCCCTGACTTCCACTGTACTACAGGGCCCCGTGGATGCCAACGTGGCTGGTGGCCAAGAGTGGAAGCCCACCGTCCCCAGTGTTGCAGTCAGACCCGTGAACGGTGGTGAGGCCCCCCGTGGAGCCTGGGCACGAGCCAAGTGCACTGTGCCAGGGGACGCCGTGGGCAGCCGGGCAGCGGTGGATCTAAGACGGCTGGGCGAGCTAGTAGCGTCGGTGCATACTGTGGAGAAGATAATAGTGCAAGCCGTGATCACTATACAGGCATGTGCACGTGGCTACCTGGTGCGTCGTACCATCAGAGTGTGGCACCAGTGGGCTGTCGTCATCCAGGCTGCCTGGCGTGGCCACTGCACGCGGCGGAACTTGGCCCAGCTCTGCAGAGCTGCCACAGTCATTCAGGCCACATGGCGAGGCTACTTCACCCGACGGAGACGAGCCCAGCAAATGCTGCTCCCTGCCATGTGGGCTTGCATGGGCGACAGGGTCCAGTTGATCTCCAACCACCGCTGCTTCCAGTCGTGCCAGCCAAAGGCCTGCACCCTCTGCCAGTCGCTGAGTCCCCAGCTGGGGAGGCTGCCCAGTGCAGTGATGCTTGTGGGTTCCAGCCCTCGCACATGCCACACGTGTGGGCAAACACTGCCCACGCGGGTGGTACAGGGCATGGGCCAGGGCAGTACAGGCCAGGCTGGCATGCCATGGAGCTGCGGCACCCAGCTGATTCCCCAGAGCCCTCAGCGGCAGCTCCTTGGCCAGAATAAGGCAGCCATCATCATCCAGTCCGCCTGGAGGGGCTTCATTGTGCGTCGCTGGCTAAGGCAGCAGCAAGTTGCAGCCAAGATGCTCCAAGCCACCTGGCGCGGCCACTATACCCGGGCTTCCCTCACCACGGATGCACTCTTGGGACCAGTGGCGTGGGACAGCCCACAGAACATGCAATGGCCAGGAGTCTAGGACCTTGCCTGGTGGGGCCACAGCAGGGGGGGTGCCATGTGGCTGTCTTGGTCTAATGAATAAAGCCCTCCCCAGCTGGGGTCTTGGTCTGCCTGTGCTCGTATAGCTATCTTAGACATGGGTGTGGGGGGAATGGGTGGAATCTAGAACACCGTGTGGACTGGGAGGGGACCCTAAACTTCCAACCACACAGTTGGCACCCATAGTGTGTGTCTGAGATGGGAACCCAAGCCCTTCCCAGAGGTCAGGGGCTTCCAGTGTGGCTGCTGAACCTGTCCACGACTGGTGGGGTGGTGTCCAGTCGCATCTAGATGGAAGGTGTCCCTAATGCACTTCGGAAGCCAATATCTGGGGACCTGGCCCAGAATGGCCATCACGAGTCCCTTGGCCCTAGAAAACCCTAAGAGTGAGTGCATGGTGCCTTTTTTTAAAAGGAAATTCTGGGGGTTCCAGCCATGTACGAATTTGGTGAGAGGCTGGGCTTATCCCCAAGGGGATCCAGTCTGGGTGAAAGAGAACCAAACAGATGATCCCAGCCCATGGGTCAGGGACAGGGACGGGGCATGGAGGGGGAGAGGGGGCTGCAAGCTTGCAGAGGGGGCAGCCTGGTTGGAGGAGGGGCAGAGAGGGTGACAGCACGGGTTTAGGGCAGCTATGGAGGGGACCACAGAGTGGGGGGGGCTGTTGGGAGAGGGGAACTGGAAGGAGCAGGGGTGTCCTGAAAGGATGGGCAGAATCTCACAGCTTTGGTGTCATGGTTCAGGTAGGATTTTTAGGTGAGGTGGGGGTCCAAGTGGAAAGGGGGGCCAGTATGGTACCCCTGAGACATGTAGAACCCCCTCATAGGCCCCCTGTCCTGAGGCCCCACCTCCGCCTCTCCCCTGTGCAGGTGTAAAAAGCAGCCAGCTGGTCACGCACCTGGCCACTCTTGACACCTGTGCAGAGCCTGCCCTTCACCCTCCCCAAACTGGACTGCTGGGCTCCCAGCTGCTACGGCCACTTCTGCTGCTGGCTCTGGTGCTGCTGCTGCAACCTGACATAAATTTCTCTGCTTTGCTGACACCCCTACAGCTGAGAGCAGGTAAGGAAGAAGATGGGCTTCTAGAAAGCTGGAGGGGTACATTCTGCCCAGCCACACACCTGGCCTTTGGGCCCCTTCTTCAGGTCACACTGGTCTGCCAGCCACCCACCCCACAGAGGCGGCTCCTCCCAGAAGCAAGGTGGGGGACTCATGAGAACAGCTGAAGCACCCCCACCCCTCCACCCCCCATGCCCACCCTGAGGCTGCCACTTCTGCAACTGCAGCCTAACCAGAGCCAGCAAGAGGCTGTGACTGCCTCATACCCAGTTTGAGTTCCATTTAAAACCCCTTTCTGTTAACCAGACCCCAGAACCATGGGAAGGGAGGATAAGGGCTCACTTCCTGGTCACCGAGCATCTATGGCTCCCAGGAGAGGTTCTTGGCACCTAATTTCTTCTACTGCCCAGTAAGACAGTTCTAAGGGCAAAGAACTGAACAACTTTTTTTCTAAAATTTATGTTGTTATAGTCGATATACAACATTATATTAGTTTCAGGTGTACAATATAGTGATTCAACAAGAGCTGAACTCTTGCCCTGGCCCGTGTGGCTCAGCTGGTGTTGTCCTGCAAAGTGGAAGGTCACTGGTTCGATTCCCAGTCAGGGCGCATGCCTGGGCTTCAGTCCTCGTCCTGATGTATCTCTGCATCTCTTGCACATTGATGTTTCTCTCCCTCTCTTTCTTCCTCCCTTCCATTCTCTCTAAAAGTAAATAAATAAAATCTTAAAAAAAAAAGATCCACTCAGGGCAGAGTGGACAGGGTGGGGTAGGAAGAGAGTGGTGAATGAACTTGCAAGAAGCTAATGTGCCCAGCAGCCTGGGACTGGGAAGGAAGTAATTGTGGGGTGTGGCCCATGAAATATTTACCCTCTCTCAGCCTGGCTCTTGGGTTCTGTGCCTGGGAGGGGCTTCAGACAAAGAGCTTCAAACAATGGCCCCTCATTTCCCACTGTACTAAACCCTCCAGGTCCTCATAGGGAAAGAAAGCATCCAGAGAGGGGACTGGGGTTGAAGCCACCCACCGCTGTTCCTAATCGGCCCCTCCTTGTACCTCCTGGTGTTTTATTTCCAGAGGTTAGGAGAGAGATTGAGACCTCAACTTCCAGACTTTGGATTGCTTTTCTCTCCAGCCACGGCTCTCCTAGTTCTGTGAAAACCTCCGTCAACCACTTAAGCCCCTCCCACAGCCCCCCAGCTGGCTACACTATCCATTTCAGCACCCCTAGTTCAGGGGCAGACTCCCCCCCCCACACACACACAGCTCCTTAAATTCAGAACAACCTCACCAGCAAGCCCAGTTCCAGCTCCAGAAGTTTAGGGCTGGTGCCCACCTCCCCACAACCAGAGACAATATCCCACCCTAGTTCTGGCTTTCCAGTTCAGAGCTCACCCCCATCTCCCACTCTGGCTGCCTGAGTTCCATCTCCTTGACCTTGCACTGGAGGCCCACTTCCCCCAGCCCCAGAGTGGAGTCCTCCTCCCTGCTCTTGGCCACAACTAAAGGGTACTGCTGTGGCCCCGGGGCCTGGGGCTGTCTGGTTTGTGGGGGTGTGGAGGATGGCTGGCGTTACTGGGCTGCAGTTCTGGGATCGGGCTCCAGGGGGAGACACAGACCTGAGAATGTGCAAGGAAGGGCTGCACCCCTCCCCCCTCCACCCCTAGTATTGCCTGAAGCTCTTCAGAACTCCATTTCTTGCACATTTATTACACGCCTAAGGTGTGTCTCATGCTGTGGGACACAGCTATGTTGGAAGAAAGGTTATAAGTAAATTTCATATTTATTTATAAAAGAACAAAATAAGAGGAGGGATATGAGTGCAAATGGTTTGACATTTAAAAATTGGTTAGCAAAAGTCTTGATTTGAAGGAGGTGAGGGAGGAGCCACGAAGTTATCTGGGGGGAGAGCAGCCCAGGTAGCAGGCACAGCCTGTGCAAAGGTCCTTAGGTAGGTAGTTCTGTGTCGGGTGCATTTGAGGAAGAGTGAGATGTCTGGAAGTGGCTGAGTAGGGCACTAGTGGGAAGGCAGTGAGGGTGGGAAGATTATAGGGTATGACCCCCCAGGGCCCCTGGGTTCAATAAAAGCCAAAAAATTTTAGAGGCACCTAGAAAAATTTGTAAGTCAAACTAACATGTTGTCTCCAAAATGTTCAAAGAAGAGTACAAATGCAAAATGTGATGATCTTTTGCTTAAAGTCACAGGGTATACACCATCTTTACAAAGTGTCTCATTTCAGCCCTGGCCGGGTATCGGGACTGTTGTCCCGATACGCCCAGGTTTCGGGTTCCATCCCGTCAGGGCACATACAAGAATCCACCAGCGAAGGAATAAATAAGTGGAACAACAAGTCAATCTCTCTTTCTCTCTCTCCCTCCCTCTTTCTCTAAAATCAATAAATAAATTCTTTTTAAAACCGCAAAGTGTCTAATTTCACATTTATCCCCAGAAGGCCGCTGCGTTTGCAAACAGTTCTAGATTTTTCTCACTTTGCAAGAACCCCTAAGTGTAGCCAATGAGAGCTGTGAAAACACAGCAAACCAGATGAAATCCCTGAAGACAAATACACTCAAAAGCAAAAGGATAAAAATGTACTTTTAAAAGGTCAGACAGCAAGCAGAGAGGGAAGTTAGCCCGGCTTTCTGGGAGGGACTTCCACGGTTCTGGGCCTTGTGCGTGTCACCCTCCCCTCAGCTCCAGGTGACACTGGAAGGCGGGCTGGTCATGGAGTGTGTCTGTGGTGTCCATCCTGCTCAGTGGGTCTGTATCTCTCCATCTTTCGTGGGGCCCGAAGACAACAGCCAGGGGGTCAGATGATGTCTCAGATGGTTGCGAAGAGCACAGTCACCAGCTGGGGCCCGGGCCAGGTCCCAGTGGCCTGCGTGTCCAGGTTCGCTGTCCAGGCAGGGAAGTTTCTCTGGGGAGGTGATAACTGAGCTGAGACCTCAAAGGCGGGAAGGAGCCTCCCTGGGGAAAGCCAGGAGGCTGTCCCAGGAACCAAGCACAGAGAGTGTAATGGCCCTGGGGTAAAAAGAACTTGGATGTTTGGGAAACAACCAAGGGTGTGATGGTCCACAGGAAGGAGTATGGGTTATAACCCGAGTGCCATGGTGGGTGGTTTCAGCCAGGGAGGAGCTAAATTCTGGTTGATCTTCCTTCAGGTCTTTAGGGGCAGACAGTCAGTGGGGCGGGGAAGGATTTCCAGGAGGCAGGGACAGCCCTACGCAAAGGCTTCGAGGCAGGAAAGCCCCAGAAGCATGCAGAGAACAAGGAGTCCAAACGCCCCCTCCCCGTTGTTCAGTCCTGCTCTCCAGGTCTGAGCTGGACCCCACTTTCCCCCCTCCCATTAGACAGGAGGGAAAACTAAGTCCCAGAGGGGCAGGCTGGGGCCAGGGACCCTCGAAGGTCAATGAACTCTTCCTGCTGCCTACTCCCCTTCTCACTGGGAGCACCCGGCTTCTCCAACAGGGACTTGGAAGCCCCCTGCCCCTTGGCCATGTCTGGGGTCTGGAGCCGCCCCCTCAGGGCTGAGTTTACCCTGCTGTGACAAGAGTGGTCCGGGAGGCAGGAGTCAAGGTCACCAGCACATTGAGAAAAAGCCCCCGGAGGGAAGGTCATGCTCTAGTGATTCTTGGGGGCAGCAGGTGGCAGTTCTGGTGAAACATTAACTCAAGCTGCTCAGGAGGCGGGAGTCTCCCAGGAGCTCCCTTCCCAGGGCGTGTCCCCTCGTCATCTTTCCTGGGGGCCCAGGTTTCAGCTGCAGCTCTAGCCCCCACTGTTGTGGATGTGTGACTGACCAGAGGGGATCGTCGGTCTGCCTGGGGCAGCACGGCGTGGCCAGGGCCCCCCCAGAGCCGCCCCCGCACCCTGAGAGCTCTGCCGTGGAGCAGTGTCTTAACCTCAGGCTGGTAAAACCCTCCCGCTCCTACGTCAGAGTCGCGCCTCTGTGTCCCTGTCCCCCTCCCCGCTCTCCCCGTCTCTCTGCCCGCATCTGCCTCTTTCCTCTCCCTTTCTCTCGCTCTCACTCTGTCTCCGTCTTTGTCTCTCTCTGCCTTTCCCACCCCCTCTCTCCATCTCTGTCAAAATCTGTCTCCGCTTTTCCTCTCTGGCTTTGTTTCCATTTCCCTCCTTTTCTCGTAAACAAACACAGCACAATGAAACTTAACACCCACCTACCCTGTCCCCTCCCCCCACACACACTTGGTCACCCTCCTGGCCACTCTCTCTCTCTTATAACCATCTTTGCGACATTCTCCTGTCCTCCTGGTCACTCAGCCCCCCACCTCCCGGCTCAGTCCTAAGGGTGGTGTGGAGGAGTGTCCTCCTCCCCCACACCAGGTGCTCAGACAGTTAAGGGAATCTGCTGGGGGAACCCGGACCGCCCCCTTGGGCACACACAGTCCTCCCTCACCCTGCGCCCTGGTCCGTCACAGGACTCAGCGGTGGCAGTGAGTGCCAAGCCTGCCCGGGCCTCGCAGAGCTTTTGTGAGTCTGGGGCGTTCTCAGGTGGTGGGCTCAGGTCTCCAAGCCTTCAGAGCCAGTCTGGGAACTAAACATCTCCTGTATGGGACCCAGGGCCCGGGGACCTCTTCGAGAGAGAGACCCAGCAGGGAGTGAGGAGGGGCTTGCAGGCACCCAGCCCCTGTTTCTGGATGCAGGCCCCTGCAGAGAGGTTCATGGGGTGTCCCACATGGGCCCCTGTGCTGGGACCAGGTCTCCGCCAAGCATCTCTGGGCTCCGGGGGAAGGCGCAGCGTGTGGGAGTGATATCCCCGTCTGTGGGGGTGTGGTCGGACTCCTGGGGCCTGGGGGTTTCACATCCATCTCCCCAGGTTCGGAGACACCTGCGGCATGAGGCGCAGCCGAACAGCGCTCTCCTTCCTGCTGAGTGAGGTGAGTGGTGGGGGGTGGCCTTATGTGGGCCGTGGGGAGGGGTGCCCAGTGCTCCCCTACTTGGAAATACCCAGAGCTGTCTGGAGATCCACTCACAGGTTGGGAAACCAAGACCCAGAGAAGGCACTAGAAGCCTGAGACTCAATCCAAGTGTCTGCAGCCACTGCTTTTGGGAGCAAGGGGCCAGCAGGGCAGAAGAAGCAGGGACCCTGTGGGTCCGGAAGCAAGATTATTGATTTTCCAAAAGGGGAGACCACACCTTTGGGGCAGGGCTAACGAGCCCATGTGGGAAACCAAAGCAGTGTTAAAAGGCAGTAGTGAGCCCTGGTCAGCTGGGTCGTCTCGACACCAAAAGGTTGTGGGCTCGGTTCTCATTTGGAGCTTGGAGCGCACGTGGGAGGAAAGTCATCGTTTCTCTTTCACATCGATGTTTTTCTCTCTCTCCACCTTCCCTTCCTCTCCTTCAAATCAATGGACATAGCGTTGGGTGAGGATTTTTTAAAAAGGCCAGTGAGCAGGATTTCGGCAGTGAGCTCGTCCAGCAGGAGGTGGGTTTGGGTCTCAGGCTGGTCGCCAACACCTGAGTGGCTGGTGACCTCTCCAGGACTATTTTCTTTCTTTTTTAAAAAGATTTTATTTATTTATCTTTAGAGGGGAAGGGAAGGAGAGAGGGACAGAGGGAGAGAAATATCAATGTATGGTTGCCTCTTGCGCGTCCCCTGCTGGGAACTGGCCTGCAACTCAGGCATGTGCCCTGACTGGGAATTGAACCGCAGTTGTTTGGTTTGCAGGCCTGAGCTCAATCCACTGAGCTACACCAGCCAGGTCCCAGGACTCTCCTTGGGTAAAAAAAAAAAAAAAAAAAAAATGGGTGAAAACTGTGTGGCTTGAGAAAGGTCAGGATGAGCCAGCAGGCAAAGTCCCACACACATTAACACATTTATCCACACTCCATCTCTGAGCCACACCTTCCTCCTCTGCAAAGTGGGGACCTGCTGGCACTCCCCCAGACATTCGGTTGACAGCACCAGTCACTCCCTTTGCACACGGAGCGCCTGCTGTGTGCCTGGCCTAGTGCTGGGGAGACAGGTGTTGAATTGAGATGAAAAACAAGATGTAGGGAGGGCAAATGTAAATGAGGCTGTGCAGATTGGGCTGGAAGGGCTCTAAGGAGGTGACGACTGAGCTGAAGAATGAATGAAAACAAGCAGCCAGCCTTGGGGAGAGCTGGGGTCGGATATTCCCTGCAGAGGGCACAGCTCCTGCAAAGGTCCTGGGGCAGGTGTAAGGAGCAGGCTGGGGTGAGGCTGGGGCACGTGGAGTGAGAGAAGATGGAGAAAAGCAGGGGTGGGGGTGGGGGTGGAGGGGTGGAGGGGTGGAGGGTGGGGGGGCAGGAACCAGTGCATGAAGGGCCTCAGGGACTGCTGGCAGGGGTGTGGATTTTGTTCCAGGGTCGCTGGGAGCCACTGGAGCAGGCAAGGGACAGATATAGGGTTCATTTTAGAGGCAGGATGTGGGGTGGGGTTGCAGCCAGGGCCAGCACGTATCAGAGTCTCCAGGGTGGACAAATCAAAAGGCAGCCTCTCAGCCTCTTTCCAAGCCCTTCCCCACTCAGGCTCCCCTCCCCACCCCCCAGGCCTTTGGTCCTCACTCCAGCCTCTCAACCAGGAAAGCAATTATTCTGGAGAGGCAGACTGGTGAATGCTGCAGCTGCTACGCCAGAAGGCCCCTCCCCTTCTCAGCCTGAAGCTCTGAGATGCCCCGTTCTCGCCTCACCCAGCTTCAAGGGAGGGAGGGACAGCAGGCTGGATCCTGGGAGCTGTGGGGAGCACCTCCTCATCAAACCCATGGCAGGTGCTGTCGACCCTTCCCCTCAGGGTCTGTCTTGTCTGCTTCACCCCCAAACCAGCTGCCCCCCAAACATCTGACTTCCTCCATTGCTCTCCTTGGGGTGGGGGTGGGGTCACATGAGACTCACACCAAATCTGAATTGGCCCAGATATTGGTGCTCCTCCTCAGATATTCCCTATTCGGGTGACTGTGACTACTCGTTAACTGGAAAGTGACTAGTAACCCATTATTAACACTAGTAACTCGTGGATACCCTTGATCATCCTACAGGCATGCTCCATCTCTCAGCCTGCAAAACATCCCAAGTTCACTCACAGGCCCTACACTGGTCCATGTCCCACCATTTGCTGCCCAGCCTCGGCCCTGCCCCCAAAAGTCCCTACTCCCTGAGGCAAGCACAAGAGGCTTCTTAAAAGCATAAAGTAAATCGCATCCCTCAGAAGCTTTCAATCCACTCCCAGAATTAATTCCCAATTCCTCACCCACCCCTGAAGCCCTGCATCAACTCCTGCCCCCCCCTTGTCTCCCCCCAGCCTGCCAGCTTGTTCCCACCTCAGGGCCCGCGCCTGTGCTGCTCCTCCTGCCTGGGCTGCTGTCTCCCAAGCTCGCTCCTGGGCGGCTCCTTCTCCTCTTTCAAGTCTCAGCTGAGTTACCGCCTCGGAGAGGCCCCTAACTACACCTGAGTGGTACTACACCTTCATGTCTTTTTAGATCCTTCCATGGCCTCATTTTTTTCCCAGCACTATGGGAACCGTTTTTCATATCTGCTGAGTAAATAAATGAACATGAATGTGGGCAAATGGTTTTCCCAGCTGGGGCTCAGTTTCCCCAAGCAGAAAATGGGGACACTGACATTAGTGGGTTTCCTGTCAGTCATGGGAGAGGCCTGCTGCCCGCACTCACCCCACCCTCTGCTTTCCCAGAACAACCTCCCAGCTGCTGGGACCCTCCCTTCCTTCCTGGGGGAGGCCACATATTGATTACTTAGATTTCTGCATCTGAATTCGGGTGCCTGTGGGAGAGGGTGGGGACGGTCGGTTGTGCTCAAATGGGAACGGCCAGGAATTCTGGGTCCTAGAAAGATCGAACCTGTGCGACGAGGTGGGGGTGGAGAGCTAAGCAGCCCTCCACTGTGTGCCCCTCAGCCGGTCGTTTCCCTCTGAACATCAGCACCCTCCTCTGCGACATGGGAGTAAGAGGAGAAAAAGAGCAGTGTGGTTTTCCCGCACCTGCCAGGGCTCCGAGGCGGGAACTGACGCGCACGCCTCTCAGCTTCTTTCCCGCTCCCCTGGCCCTGGCGCTGGCTTTTATCAGCCTGGTGGTCTGGACCTCAGTTTTCAAATCTGAATGTGTGGTCGGATGGCGGAGACGGACTCACTGGCGCGGCTCGGGGACAGAGAAGGAAAAGGCCGCCCTTTTGAGCTCCACATCTCCTGCGTCCGCGTGTGCTTCTTCGACCCCTAGCACACTCCCCGTTCTCTGGGTGCTTTCGGTGTCACTCCCGGGGGTCAGCACCGCGGACAGTTCCCAGCCTGGGAATCGTGGCCCCCTGTCCTTTTATCACCAACGACCCAGAGGAATTGGTACTGTTTTCATCCCCACCTTCACGAATGGGGAAACTGAGGCATGCTGGCCCTAGACCACGCATCATGAATCGAACTCACTCCCCATCTGTTGGGTTGGGAGCTTACACTCCTGACTCAATTCAACCTGATTCTGTTTGGTTTTTAAATGTCTCAAGTGTTTACTCAAGAGCATGCTTGCAAACAACGCCTCATTTAATTTCTCCTTTTCAGTCCTTCCTTCAAGAAATGAACTGAGGCTCAGAATCCAGAATTCTACCTCCATCATTTTATCAAAAAGATTTCATTTATTTTTCGGGCGGGGGGTGGAAGGGAGAGAGAAAGAGGGAGAGAAATATGGATTGGTTACTTCTCTCACATGCCCCAGCTGGGGACCTGGTCCACAATCCAGGCTTGTGCTCTGACTGGGAATCAAACCAGCGACCTTCAGTTTGCAGGCTGGTGCTCAGCCCACTGAGCCACGCCAGCCACAGCTCTACCATTTATTTATCAACTGCAACCTTGGGCAAGTTACTAATGCTTTGAGACTGAGCTTCTTTATTTGTAATATAAAGACAATGGTATAAAATTGTTTCATTGTACACTCATGAGCTGATCCCCAAGGGGTCCATAGAACAGCTCCTATGTGAAATGAGTGTGCAAGATGGGTTCACTATTGGTGCTTGTTTACTTCCTGCATGTTTTATGTATTTATATTTTAAAATATTTTAAAAGATTTTATTTATTTATGTTTAGAGCGAGGGGAAGGCAGGGAGAAATAGAGGGAAGGCAGGGAGAGAAACATTGATCATTGCCTCTCACGCACACCCCAGCCAGGGACCTGGCCTGCAACCCAGGCATGTGCCCTGACTGGGAGTCAACCAGCGACTTTACCATTTGTGGGATGATGCCCGACCAATTGAGCCACACTAGTCAAGGTGCATGTTTTATTTTTACATTTTAATAAATAATATAAGTCATGAATACCATTAAAGTGTCCATTAGCATAACAAATAGTATGTGGTATATAATGTAATACATAATTAATATACTTTGTATTAATTGATTAAAAATAAACGTTGCTGTCATGCCTACTGTGGACAAGGCACCGTTCGCATTTTGCAAGGTTGGGGTCCATCCCCCCATTTTATAGATGAGAAAACTGAGGCTTAGAAATCAATTAACTCAGGGGGAAAGTAGGACTGAGGTACAGTTTTCAGGGCCAGTCCAAGTGTCTGGGTGAAGGAATCTCAGAGCCCCACGGTCCCCAGGGCACCATGAAGGTCCCAGGCTCAGAAACTCACTCGTGTCTTGTCACTGTCTCCCTAGCATGTCCGAGAGTCTGTGGATTCCGGCTCGGGCCCCGTGAGTCCCCTCAGCAGTGGTGTCATCCGGAGACGTTTCTCAGGGACCCCGTTGCTGCCCCCGCTGTCGAGCCGCCTTGGGCCCTCTGGGGAAACTGAGCCCAGCGCCTCTGTGGTGTTCACCATTGGGGCTCGAGGGACAGAGCAAAGCCATGGTTCGTCTTCAGGAAGGTGAGGAGGCAGATGGGGACTGTGGGAGCCAATCCCAGGAGAGGAGAGTGCCTCGTCTAGCTGGATTTTTTTTTCTTTTAAAGTCTTTAAAAAATATTATTTATTTATTTATTTTTAGAAAGAGGGGAAGGGAGGGAGAAAGAGAGGGAGAGAAACATCAGTGTGTGGTTGCCTCTCATGTGGCCCCCACTGGGGACCTGGCCCGCAACCCAGGCATGTGTCCTGACCGGGAATTGAACCAACAACTCTTTGATTCACAGCCCATGCTCCATCCACTAAGCTACACCATCCAGGGCTAGCTGGACCTGTTTTTTAACTTGTTCATAAAGCATTTATTAAGCAGCTACTATGTGCCAGGCTCTGCACTGAAGACACAGCTATAGGCAAGCAGATGCTCACAGGCTGATGGCGGAGACAGATCAATACCAAAGGGAGAAATGAGGGTGCCATGGAACCCAGAGGAGGCTTCTGACCCAGCATTGGGGGGTGGGTAGAGGGTAAGAAAGGACGCTTTGAAGAAATGGCATTTAAGGATGAAGTGGTGGCTTAAAGGATGAAGAGGCCTGCCTCATCCAGGAGGAGCACAAGGACGGGTACACCAGTCAGGAGGGACAGATTGTGCAGAGCCTCAGACTCAGGAGGATCAGGTACCTGAGGAACTGAATACAGATCAGTGTGGCTGGAGAGTGGGAGGGGAGCTGGGAGAGGTGGGCAGGGGTTGGACCACACAAGACCTCATGAGCTGTAATGAGGAGACATGGGTGGGTTTTCAATAGAGTGAATTGATACGGTTGGCATTTTTAAAAAATTCTCTCTGGCTGCTTTGGGGAGAACTGTCAGGGGCAGGGGTGGAAGCGGCAGGAGCCCAGCACAGAGGCAGTTCTGGGAAGGAGATGGTGGGAGCCATGGGCTGGAGAGAAGTAGGCAGATTCCGGTTATGAAGCGGCCACACCAAGCCTTGGTGGACACCAGCAGAGGGTAGGAGAGAGGGGTGATTGGTGTGAACAGCTCCTGGTCTTTGACCCTTTATATGTGACAACATTTTCATCCTTGCAATGATGCCAAGATGCGGGGACACCATCATTATCGCCACTTCCTAGAACAAAAAACAGGTTTGGGGAGGGGAAATGACAGCTGGCCAGCAGCAGAACACATGTCCCCACCAGTGGGCCAAGTTGTCCCTCACTGTCAGTTTTGGGGGCCAGGGGACTGAAAAGGAGGCCAGGGACTGAGCCATGAAAGTGAAGGACAGAGAGGGTTCATTTGCTTTTCATCGCCCACCCAGCAAGACTTAGCAGTACTGAGGCTTGAGCTCTGCCTGTCTGGCTCTCTGGCCCGAACATTTTCCACTTCTCCAACCTGGGGATGCGACTGGAGTAGAGGGTAGACTCTCCATGGGAAATATCCTTAAAATATCCCCTGGGTCCTAGGAAAAAAACAGGGCTCTCCTGTTCTCACATTTTCTGCACCAAGTGGCCTCAAAGGCCTCCCTACCGGAGCCTAGAACTTACACTGCTTGTCTACTTCTGTTAACCATGATGGAACATATCCTCACCCTCCCTTTGCCACTTCCCAGGAAAGTGCCCTTGAGATTAGGATGCCTGGTGGACTGCGCTTCGAGTTCCTAGAACTGGGGGAGGAAGGGGCAGGCCTGTGACGTGGGGCCTGCGGCGTGTCACAGGGCAAATGAGATCCTGCCATTTCTGCTGAGGCTCTGGGTATTAGTGTGGCTACAAAAGGTGCCCTTTTCCACCCATTCTCACTGTTGGCATCCCTGTCCAGAGGCAGCTTCTGCATGCCCACCACAGGCATGCAAGTTTCTCTGTCCTTCCAGGATCCTTACCCTCTGTGGGTGGAAGGTTTTAGGACTCCAAAGACACCCCACCTGGGGCTGAACTGCTAAGCCTACCTTCCTGAGCTTGGTGGAGAGACGGCCATTTGTGCCTGCCTCTGAAGACCAGAGTTCTTTACTCTGCTTCGACTCCTTCTTGCTCTCGTCACTGGGGAGGGTGGAGGACCCGCCGCTGTTCAGCTTTCAGCACCTACTGAGCGGATGGCGCCCTAGTCTGGAGGTGCTCGGGAACCCGTTTCCCTGCCCTGACTTCAGCACCGACAGGTCGAGGACAGCAACTCGCTGTCTCATCCACCGCGAATCTATTACCTTCTTCCCTTCCAACACCGAAAGAAGGGACAGTGCCCTGGCGCCGGGGGTCTCCCAAGCCTCTGTCTCTCTGCTCTCCATTCGGCAGCAGCCGGGAGGACAATTTCTGTCTTCTCCACTCCAAGCCCATGTCCTGACTTTCTTCGTTCAGCACTAGAGGAAACGACAGACCATCCTCGTTGCTGGGGGTCTCCCCAGCACCTGTGTCCAACTCCCACGCTCAAGTTTTCCACTCCCCCAACCTCCGCTATCCCTCCGCACCACTGGGCACGGACGGCTCCTCGGTGTCAGCCCCACCTTGAGCCCCTGTTTTTCTACCTTCACCGGCTCACCACCGCTGGCGCGGACAGCTCCTCTCTGTCACCTCCCCCCACCCCACCAGACCCCACCCCCGGCCCCGGCCCGACCGGGGTGCGGACACTGACACTCCTGGTTCAGGGACGGCTCCCGCACCCTCCTCTCCCTGCTTCCCTCCTCTGGCGCATGGAGACCCCCGGGGTCCAAGAAGGGGCGGAGGCACCCGGCGAGCGGAACCGCGCTCTCAGCCTCCAAGGCTTAGCCAGATTCCCGAAGCACCTGTGGCGGCAGCCGCGGCGCCCCATCCGCATCCAGCAGCGATTCCACTCCGACCCGGACAAGTCCGCGGGCCACAGCGAGCCGGACCAGGGCCCGCGGCCGGGGCTCGAGAAGTCCCGGCGTTCCTGGCCCACCTCCTTCCACAGGCGGTAGGTGGGCGGGGGCAGGGTCCTCCAGAGGCGTGGGGGAGGGGGTGCAAGGGGTCGGTGGTAGTGGGGGAGGGTCTTTGCTTCTCCAGGGGCGGACGCCTCCACTGTTTGTCTGAGGCCAGTGCTTTAGAGGAAAAGGCTGTTTTTACGTGGGCGTGAGGCTGGAGGTGGTGGTGTGGTGATTGTTTATGGGTGTGTGTGCCCAGTGTGCCGGGTGCTGTTGCATCTAAGTGTGTGCGTGAGTCTGAGCGGTTGTGACCTTGTGTGTGCCCCGACCTGCTGCGTGAATGTCCCCAGCCAGCTGCGTCTCTCTGGGTGACCGGATGTGCTTGGTTGTATGTACACCAGTTGTGTGCCTCCCTGCGTGTGTTCCCCCTCGTGTCGTTGTGGGTGTGTGGACCGGCGTGACTGTCCTTGCTCTAACCTAGTTGAGGTCCTCCAGACCCTGGAGTGTCCTCAGGCGTTTGTGGGGTTGTAGCCACCGTGAGGCTCTGAGAGGGCCAGGTTGGGCTGTCCTCAGCCCTGGGGGGAGGAGCTTCCTCTTTGGCTCGTCCTGCCACCAAACCCCCCCTGCACCCCGCCCCCTGGCCCTGGAGGCAGGAGGGGAAGCCTCTTGGGGAGCCTGAGTACAGGACGTTTCTTCCGTTAAGAAAAGATGAGGTGGAGATGGGGGGATGAAGTGGAGAAGGGCTGCTCCTCCTGCCTCATGTGAAAGAGGAGTGGGACCCTGAGAGACGGGGAGGAACAGCAGGTGAAACATGGGCCCTGAGGGGGCCAGACATGGGGGTCTCCAGCTGCTGGACCAGGGTGGACGGTCCAGGAGCAGGGTCCAGGAGCCCCAGGCCCTCCTTGGGTGGCAGGGGGAACCAGAGCAGGCCGGATCTAGAGTCCTGGGCTTGAGGTCAGGCTGGTGACCTTGGGGGTCATTTTTCTCTCTAGATCTCTATTTTCTCCCATCTTGGTCCATGGACCTCCTGGGGCTCCTGGCTTCTTGATTAATAAGCGTGGCATACCCCCACCCCCGCCCCAGCCTGGCTTTCTAGCAGCGCTGGGAGGTGCCTGAAGCAGCTGGGCTCCGTGGGCCAGAAGGGCTGGAGTCGTTCCCCAGTGGCCCAGCCGGCTCCTTGCCCCACCTCCCCTCCCACGCTCAGCTCCTCTTGCCCCACCTCCAGTGACTCATGATTTTCCATCGTCATGAGAGAACAAACAGAGACTGGGTTTGGGCGAGTCTAGGAGGAGAGCCCCTGGGTTCTGGAAGGTTCTGGAAGGAGTGTGTCCCCGCAAGTGTGCACTTGCACATCCTGTCCCTGAATATATGTGCCGATGTGGAGAGAGAGGCTCAGCTCTTAGGTTCAAGGCCATCTGGGTTCAAGGCCAATCTGCTGGGTGCTCCCCAGCAGGCAGAGAGTATCAGTGAAATGGAAACACACATCTGTGCTTTCTGCACTTTGTTAACTTTCTGTGTGGTGGCCTGGTCCCCCACTACAGCTCTTCCCCACCGCCTCAGGTAGATCACCTTGGATCTGGGAGGGTCCTAGCATCTTGTTCAGCAAACATTGATTAGCTATCTACTATGTGCCAGGCTCTGTACCAGGGACACAGCTATAGGCAAGCAGGTGCTCACAGCTGATGGTGGAGAAAGACTCATACCGGCTGGAGAGAGAAGGCTTCTGACCCAGCTCTGGGGGTTGGGGTGTAAAGGACTGCTTGGAAGAGGTGGCATGTAAGCTTAACCTGAAGGATGAAGAAAATCAGCCAGAGGGAGTTCAGGGAAGGGTATGCCAATTAGATGGAACAGACTGTGGACAGCTTCAGACTCAAGAGGATCATGTATACGAGGAGCTGCATACAGGTCAATGTGGCTGAGTGGTGGGAAGAGAGGCTCCCTACTCATTTCCCAAGCATTAATGAGAACCTACTGAATGTCAGGTCATCAGGGAACAGCTGGGAGCAAGGCAAATTTGGTCCTACCGTTGAGGGGTTGGTGGGCAAGGCAGAAGCAAATCAAATAACCATGACAGTAAACGTGAAATTATCCCCGTGAGAGAAGGCTGCTTGGAGAATATTTACCCAGCTAGTCAGGGAGGACTTTCTGGAGGGGGTGATGCTCCAGC